TTTTTTTTTTTAAATATATGTATATCAAATCTGATTATTCAAAAATTTTCTTTTCGAGCCTTATCAACCCGAGCATGAGCTCGACTCGTTAACCAACCGAGCTTTAAATAAGTTTAAGCTCGACTCGCTAAGGCCTCGAGCTCGAGCCGAAATCGATCCTCAACAAGCCGAGCTCAAAGCCTCGCGTTAAATTTAACAGCACTATGCAGAGCACAGCTAACTACAGTCTCTACAATCATCTCTATCAGTTGCATTCAGGCAAACAAACAACAAACTATAAAAAGATAATGTGAAAAACAAGCAACACACAGCTTCTTCTATCTATTCCTAATCGACATGTAATCCCGAGTTCTCGCCTGATGAAAGCTACATAAAATCCTATACGAACTTTAGTTTTCTTTTCTTTTATGGAAAAATAAAAAAGAAGTAAAAAGCGCGCTCAAAAGCGATCCCCCAACAAACCTTTTCTTCCCGAAAACTCATTTGTACCTCCTCTTAGATTCTCCATACGCAATCACTCCCATTACAGTCATAGTATAACCGGCAATGCCAATAAATGTCACCGGATTTTGGAAAATGAGTATCGATATAACCACAGCCACGGCACCTTTCGCATTGCCTAATACCTAACGAGCAAAAAAAGAAAAAAAAAATGTATACAAAATACGAGCATGGTTCAGCAAACATGAAACAAGAATTAACATACGGTTCTCTTCACAATTTTGAAAGGATAGCCGGAGCATTTATTTTTATTAGACTGAACCAGAGGGGTCTCTTTACAATTATCCTAATTTACACAAGATCTAGTCCAAAAAAAAAGGCTCATTCATTTGGCAAGCCATCGGCTAGAAAGATTAGGTAGCATGATACAATAGAATTGTGTTAATTGAACACTTACATTACAAACCACATGTTATTACTGTACCATTTCGAATAGGATTTTCATTCAAAAACAAGACAGAAAAAGCAATATTTAACCGATTTTTAACCTGCGATTAATATATTTTCTATTTTCTTGCATTCTGTGTGTGTGTGTGTGTGAAGGAGGGAGAGAAAGGGACCTGGAGTGTTAAAGCACTCGTATGCTTAGTCACCAAGAAATTGCACAAATTCGCTCCATAAGCCATAGTTGAATTAATCAAAAGAAGAATCCACATGAATTTATGTTCTTTTCCAAGTGAAACAACCATATCCAATACATTAGGCTCCATTACAAGAGCAGCAGGTAGCAAGACTATAACCGCAATCGGGGCCATATAAAGCATCAAATTCATCGAGTTCAACTTTTCCCTGTAAA